AGTTGCATTACGAAATCTTTTACAGAACGCGCAGTTATTACGAAATGAAATCATTGAGATTGTTCCTGCATCTAGTTTAAAGCTTAAAAAAACATTTAAAAATATTTGCCTCACATTACGAATATTAGACTTGCGGAACAAATCACCAAAAAGCTTTTCCAGCTGATGGAAACACAGACACTGCGAAGCCACTATCCCGAGCTAAAAATTGCAAGTTGTTCCTGTAATTCCTAGAAAAAAGCACATACGCGGCCTTAAGTTACACGACCTTGATATATTAACATAATGAGCTCTCCTACCGCACTGTATTAAAATTATATCGAACAATCCAGAATTTTAAAAAACGTTGTCCATTCTGAGCTCTGATTGGACGGTGCTTCTACATACCATCGTGCAACCGGAAACCACACGGAGAGAAAGTCCTTCATTTGGATGCACTATGATCTATGGTACATTAATACGTCAATTATTTTTAGTTTAAATATTACCTATTAGGTGTATTCATGGCAACGGAACTTAATGCTAGTAGAGGCTTCCTCCGCTCTGTAACGTGGGACATTTATCACTTGCATCATTGCAATTTATTTGTTTTAGCGGGATTCTTTCCTCGTGAGAAAATGACAAGAAAAAGGTATAAAAAGACGGGCACAGAGGTGACTTTTGAGTGACTTCCAAGCCGAAAGCAGTGTTCATATATTAAGGTTCCATAGCATTAATATGATACTACCATTGTTAGCGGTGAGTTTTCTCAAAGATAATATTTTATCAATTATGAATGAGACTATCAGATGGAAGCATATGCAGCGATCATTTGTACGTAATAATGACTTTATTTATTAGAGTTTTGGGAGTTTCGAGCCGGAATGACCACTGATTTCAATCCATTCTTTGTCATCCTACTTCTTATCTCTAGTTTAGCCGAGAACCTGTCAGTTAGCTGTCAGTTAGCTGTCAGTTAGCTTTTTTTATTTTTATTTATTTATTCATTATATACTAACGTTTCCTAGGTCATGCTACAACCATGATCTTCTTCTAATTTTACTAATCAAAAAAAAATTATTCTAAAAATTTAAAAAATCTGTAAGACTTATTAATGCCTAGATCAGAGAGTATATATTACTTTTTAGCATAGGATTTGGTTTGACAAAAAGGTTTTCTATTTTTTTCATATAAAGGGACTCTCTTTCGTTCCTCGTAGGGTCATAGCCCGGTTGGTTTACAGTTTTGACACTTGGACTTAACGCTCAAATTTGAGGCAAACATGGAAAAAAAGTCTTATTTTACCATTAAATTATATATAAATTCCTCGTTACTGAGTTAGATTTTATTTTACGAAAATATTTTTGATTTTCGAAAAGAAAAATGTGCTAGCACAGGAAGCCCAAGCAAAAAAGGTTTAATTTGAGAAGGACGTAAGCGACTACCAATACAAGAAAAAATATGCAGCTATATGCGGAAACTGTGACCGTAATTATGTTTTTCTGTGCTAAGAATCAATTAATTACCATACAAAATGTTTTTAACCATTGTTGAATTGAATTGTTTATTTTCACAATTTCTTTCATGGAAACCACACGGACTTCTTAAAGTTTTTGCTTGGGGTTCCTGTGGTGCAATGGGATCGTTTAGCAATCAGTGATGTCTTCAGAGACCAAGTGAAATCGTTGTTCAAACAACTTACTACATTTTGAAGAAATTTTGTCATTAGAACTAAATTACGAAAATTTGTTTTTACGCTGAAGCATTATTATAAAGTCAAAATGCATAACTGTTTCCGATGATATGGGGTACAGACTGTTGCCCGATATATCAGTTATTATGATGAAATAATAGCCTTACCTTTGCCTCACAGCTTGTTTTAATCTTTCTTGAGAGTTTTAGTAGCTAAGATGACCGATTTATTCGACATCAACTTTCAACTCTTTTCAGCTTTCACTTTTCGGTTCGGTTACACTCATACGTTTTGGAAACGAAAACCGTTATGATAATGCGAGAAATTTTAAAGACCATAGACAGATGCATTTGCACAGGTTAAGCTTCGTTTAAAAATATTTTAGTTGATAAGGCAGCTATTCACAGACCTTTAGCATTGGGTTTAATGCTAATCTCTAACCGCTAGGAGTCAGGCTCCGAAAAACGCCYGCAAACATTACGCATCAATGAAATTCAATATGGAGGACTTTCAGCAAGTGACAACTTCGTTATAACGCCTTGGTTAATGTCGAAAGTTTGACTGACGTCGAACTGCAGTTTAGATTTAGGGTCTAAAAAGAACGTCATGCTAACAGTTATGGATAATCCGTGAAAAAGAACTGAGATGTAATTAGATTTTTCGAAGCTTCAGCTATTGAGTGTCACGCAAACTTTTGTTTTATGCAATTAAATAATGAAATAACAAAAAACTAATTTTAATCACAAATTTCTGGCATAATAAAGTACTTGTTTATTGAAGTTGTCGTAATAATGGCATTTCTGTATCATACGGGAACTTCGAATTCATGCAGAACTTTAATTGGATCGATCGGTGTCATACGAGCAAGTTCGTCAGCCTTTAGATTTGCTACAAGTCGACTACTCTTCTTCCTCCGACGAAACCTTCCTGTTGCTCTCGCAGGAACACGATTTAAATAAATTAATTAAWTTAATTAATTTAATTTAAAAAGTAAAAATAATAATAAACGGGAAGAAAAGAGAAAAAAGGGGAAAAAAGGGGGAAAGAGATATCGAGTTTACAAAATCGAATAGAGGGTCATGAATTAATACAGCGTACATTCTACTATATTGACATTTTATATGTTCTTTAAATCGCAGACGTTTGCTCTGATGTTTGCTTTCGTTCCTGGAAGCGACGAGGCAACAACAGCACCCGTCACGAACTACGCTGCACTGGCCACATGCCTTAAGGTGTCCAGTCCCTTAACAGCCACGGCCACAAAGATTCTAGACCACGTGACTGTTAACCAGTATATCATTGTTCCACCCTCTGGTCTTCTAAGCTCCAACTCAAATAGGCAATCTACGACGACTGTAAGTAGCAAAGGCTGTCCTTTCGTGTGGAGAACAGACTTTGATAACAACAGACGCCCATCTATCTTGCTCAAGGCCGTCTGTCCCACAAGTAACGCAATCTGTACTAAATGTCACGCAATAACCTATGGTCACCGAGTGTTGAAGTATAAATGCAATGCATTATGGGACTGGGCTACAGTGAATCTTCCTGTTGCGTTTGTACGAGTTTGACAGCGGGAAACCGGATCCTGGAATAATCAACGAAAGTTATAGAAACTAAAACATAATGTGAATAATTAATATTTAAAAATGGAACCTGATCTATGCCTGTCTTTGGACTAACTCTATTTAACTCTCATCATGAACTGTCAAATATTTCTGTGCTCTAAAAACATGAATTATTTAAGCTAAAAAATGCAGAATTTTGTGTCCCTACCCGAATTACTATTTCCCTTGATAGAATCAAAATAAATAGATATTATATTCACTAGTAATGGAATATTAGTTGCTTAAGAACAAACCGAGAAATAGACCATTTTCTAATCACAAAATATCGCTGCACTCCTTGATCACAGACTCACTTGGTCGCGCGGGGAATAGAAAACTTTGTACTGAATGTACCTTTGAATAAAGATGGGAGGGAATCATCATTTGTTATTTATTTTAAAACGATCTCCTAGCTGGGTAATTGATGAACGCAATTTTGATAGGTTGGTTGTTGGTTTAACAATAAGTTGCTTCACGCTGTAGACTGAAACATTTATCATCTTCTTCCGTGTTGACCATTCAATTATAATCTATCAATTAGCCAAAGAGGAACTTAATGGATACCTAAGGAGGTATGTATCGTTGATGAAATTCCTGTTTAGGCCCAAGCTATGGGTGACATATAATAAATATATGGTTCTGCACATCTGGATCAGATGACTACGAAAACAGGCGCCCAGTAACGTCTCATATAGAGACCTTGCCACGATTAGTAGAATAAGTAATTATGTTATTATGGATGCATGCAAATGAGATGCAAATGAGACAACAAGCATTGTATCGGCCCGATAGCCTCACTTGTATGATTCTTAAAACAAAAGAATTTTTCACTAAGGGCTCAACTGTTATAACAGCAATTAAATTATCATCCTAGAACCGGTCTAAAAATAACCACATAAATAGCCTTCGCTGGTCACATCAATCGGCCACGCACGTGACAGACAGAGACAGACATGATTGAAATGCTTTAGTCGTATGGCACCTCATGTATGGTACAAACACTTGAATCGCCAAATACATTTATTGGACGACGTTACCACCCTTTGGTTAAGAAAAGTGGGAGAAATGCTAGTCAGTTCACTATTCTTACTGAATAAGTTAGCACGGAGCAGTATAAATTAACTCAACATACATGACTTATTGCAGAACGTCATTTGGAGCTTCGCAAAGCGATTTTTGCCCCACCCACCCTCCCCTAGGACTGGTGGCGCGCGGTGGTGTCCATGTTCATCTTCCTCGCTGTTTACCTCATCACAGTCGCGGATCTCACCCTAATATAACTTTGGATTTAGCGAGTATATATTACTATCAGCATTTCTCGAACCTTTCGCCTTTATTTTTAACTTTCTGATGGTGCGGGATGAACATGACACGAGCTAGACTTTTAAAACTACAAACTTAGGGTTATTAGTTTAGCTAAAGCCTTGGTAAACACCATTTAACTTGTCTAATCTTTGACATCTATATTTGAAATTTTTGAAACGACTCGGCTTCCGTCRAAATTCAATGCCATTTTTTACTAAAGTGACCGCGTCATCTCAATCACTGTTTCTTAGTTCACGGCTCAGCCAATGGCCATCGCAAACCACTTTCACTTTATTTGCTCGGTTATGGTAGTTGAAGGAGTATCATACAATTTTTAATTTGTAAACAGTTTTTCACGTCCAGATATGTTTAAACAGAGATGGTTGCATTAAAAGTGACAACATGACAAAGATATTTGCAATAATAGCTGAGTAGTCAAAACAGCCCTTTTCTTTCAAAGACTCAAAGATGCCGAATGTTGAAAGCTTGACATATCTATTGAGTTCTCATTTTTATTCGACTTTTGTTTACTTTCACGGGCTTTTTCTCTTAACCATTGCTTGCCAAATGTCACTAAGTTCATTCTTCTGAGGATCTTAATTACTTTTCTTTGATTAATTCGCTAAAACATCGAGATAACTGGTTTATTAGAACGTCTTGAGCACTTCTGCAAACCCGCCACCTGCGAAAGAAACCGAAGTCATACTCGAAAGTTACCCTTAAAAAACAACATGCTTCTTGCTTTTGGTTTAGTCTTGTTCTTACTGTGTTTCTGTGACGGTAAACGTCGTCCTGCCCAGTTAAACGTTTTTCTCGACGCCAAAGAAGTATCTCGTTTTCTCTACGGTATGTTCTGTTGATTTTCCTTTACAATAATTGTCAATTGAATGTGATTGTTTATGTTCCTTTGGGGTTTATTGTGCTGTCCGTTGGTCAAGTTTTCTCTTGCAAATCCAATCATTAAAACGAATTTTCTCAATACACACGGACTGCTAGTTGAAGATTTGTCTCAACGTGGCTTGGACAGGGAGTGACTAGATCAAGTGAATCACTCCAAATTACTCCCAAACTCAACTTGAGGAACATGATCAATTTTTTCTAAGCTGTCCTGACTTGATATTTAGTAATTGGGTTAACTGGCAACGAAGAGACTCAAAATTTTACAAATCATAACGTCTCGTGTCTTTTGTGTCGTTGGTCCAATTTAACGACAGCAGGGAATATCAGAACGATTGAGCCATTTGCATCACTTCGTCGCACTAAGGAGTTAATGCAAACACTACAACGTGCGGGAATTAATAGGCTGATTCGCAATTACGACACTATATACATACATTAATTATTTCTGAGTGTCAAGAGCTTCGTCGTTAGGAATTAATGATAACGGTTAAATYAAGTACCAGTAAAATGGTTAGACTTGATATAACATTTTTCGATAATTTTTGAGCTATGCTCTCTAAGTCATGGATAAACTCTCTTAACTCAGTCAACTTGTTTCATGAACTCTAAGTATTTAAATCTTTGTTACCATCTAAAGTACTTTACATGTTATCTTTTGATTCATCTACGGGCCGCTTGAGATGTGAAGTGTAATCAATCCGAGAACAAGCCTCTGAGAGAGCATAAAGACTAAACAAGGGAGTATTCAATCACTAGCTATGTATTCTATCTACCAAATAATTTATATAAATAGAGTGCATACCATATATCCGTGACTGAAAAGCTAACTTTCAAAGGTTGTACAAATTAGTACAAAGTTTTGCAGGTCTAAGATCTACGGAGGTCTACTCAATTTATTCATTTGTGCAAACTTGTGTAATTTCTTACAAAACTTTTCACGGACATATGCATGGTATGAACTCTACCGACACTGTGTCCCAAATATCAGCAATACTTACTTAATGGAAAGCGTTGACAGCCGCAAATATTATTAGGGTAATAACACAGATACTGCGCCATTTCCCCATAAAAATAGGAAAGTCGAACATCATAGTTTAAGAGAAAAGCACTTTCCCCGGCGTTCTCCTTAATTCTGGAAATGCATGCATAAAGTGAAAATGAAACTTCAAAATGGGAACTGGTTTCCCTTGCTTCCTACTGCACTTTGCCCGAAAAAGGATTAAATACGACTTTGTTCCACGGCCAAGTAACTGGATCATTCTACTGAGGGTCGAATTGAAAAGGAATGTCATAATGATATCCGCAAAAAAACTGTGGCTCGTTCTTGGTGTTGCAGGGCACCTGAGCCATAATGTCTAATTGAATTAAATAATTTCATTGCTGGAAGCATTCATCAAGGTCACGAAGGATTTAGTGACAGTTCACGGGGAAGCCAATGTTGTTTTATGAGTCCTTCAGCATTGTTATGCGCTCAGAATTTTTGGCTTGAACATTGGACTTCCGGCATAGACATGAAGATAATAAAACAATAGCCTAAAATAATGATTTGGAGCTTAACTGGAATACGAAAAACGGCAACCCAGAATACGATACATCTTGAAAAATTAGGAAGACCCAGAACTCTCATGATTATTTATCTTTTTTTATGAAGATATCGATAGCGCACTGTACTTGGTTCGAAACAGTAAAGTTGCACCGATGCTCAAGAAACCCATAAGCAATCTAGTCCCTCCAATCAGTCCATCCATCAAAGATCTTAAGTTCAAGTTTAACACTAGCGGAAGGGTACGTATGTATTTGATATTAGATTTATCATTTAATTTTTATCTGCTGCATAATGAACTAATGTATGTCTAGGTGAGGTTGACAATAGAGATAAACGTTTGCGCATGCGTGCATTTCAGCACGTTTTCTAAGAATTTTAAAGAGTTTGAGTGAGAAAATAAATGTTTGTTTTCTCCGAGTATACAAAAACGTTCGCGAGTATACTTTTGTCAGACCAAGATACCGTATTAACAAACATGAAAGAATTAGCCCTAAGTTTTAAGAATGAATACCATTAAAGCTTTGGCATTTTGTGAAGTCCAATTCATCCGGCATGTTTGAAAGTCAAATTTACATACGTTTTGACTAATTTGCATGCATGCGTAGACGTTTTTCGCTTGTGTAGATGAGGGTTGTGCGTGATGTAGTAGTAGAGACCTTTAGGTCCGACAACTAGTAAGAAACGAGTACGAGTAAGTACGAGTTTTTTAACTTTTAAAGAGAGGCACTATCTTTTTGTAGTTGTGATCGTGTACGTAGATTGAAACTTTAGATAGTAAAAAATTGGAAATCGACTACGATTCAGTGTTATCCACGTGCACAAGGCGAATTTTAAAACTCGTACTCGTACTCGTACTCGTCGTCGGATCTAAAAGTCGCTAGTCTAGGTCGGTAGATCAAGCGTACTCGTCTCTGATGATAAGTTATAGGGTCTCTGGTGGGCTTCCTGAACTGTAGCTAGTGATGCGAGGTGATGTTCCCTGGTGATGTTTTGATAACCCTTGCACGATATTGAACCAAGGGAATTTAGGGTGGAATATCAATAGTCCAATCGTTTTTTATCTCGAGGTCGAGTTCAAATCTTGGACTCAGAATCATATATGGGCAGGGTTTTGTTAGATCTCCCTCCCTTTCCATCATCTTGCAAAACCTAACACACTAAATTGTTCCAATTCGATCTATAATAGCCGTACCCTGACTTAGTTCAGACCAGTGTTTGTTTCAGGGTTCGATGTGTGAGTTGGCCAGCTTGCTCTGACCCTTATCATAGAGAAGGAAAGAGGTGGATAGAATTGATGATTCATGATGAGAAAAAAACTTACTGACATACATTTTTGGTAATGTTGCAGGTTCGATACTTACTGTCTTTTCGCTCAAGTAACACAACAGTCATGAATCATCCTCGAGCAAGTATTGCCGTTACAGGATTCGTACCGCGCAGAACTAAAAGTAAGTTGGCTTATACCCTGTTGTATAACTAAACAAAGAAACGCAAGGCGCACGCAGCATTTTACATATCAACCATATTTAGCACCAATCTCCACCAGAGTCCTGTCCATTTGGTCACGCATGCTCATAGCATCACACGATTCTTCACTCGGAGTTAAACTTTTCAAAATCGTACCTCAAGAAAACACTGCAGGATCTGAAAATAAACGTTGTCGATGCAAGTCCAGGTCACTGATGTCTTCATCAATTTATGCAATAAAAGCTGCGCATCAATCTATAAAGCTGCTAATTTGTCGTGACATATTTCCTGGTCCAACTGCGCACAAAAATCCTAAAGCGAAAAAAATGTTCACAACAATTTACAATCCACCTGAAACCATTTAGGACTTTGAAAAAAACAAATCCTCCCTCGTGGATAAAAAAACCGTTATGGAACTGCTTTTCGTTTTTGGAACCGGAAGTCTTCCCCCCACCCCCCCTTAAAACATAAAAGTTTTATATTCATTTATTAGATATTTTAAAGACGTTTTTTTTTTAAAGCCACGCCTAAAGTTGTGCACCTGCGATGTTGCGATCTGGCGTGAAATACTATCAGTTTACTATGGACAAAAATCGAGGGCCACAGCGTTTGCAAAGATGTATTCCTCATAATGTTTAAGAGTGGCTGTCCGTAACGGTCGTGAATGGCGGGACAGCGAAGGAATTTTCAAAGTTCTCATATTTTGTCAGAAGATACCCTTTGGTAAGCTCTTTCAAAAAATCTAGTTTAAAACTTCGAGCGCTTTTTTATTTTGGCAAATTTTACGAAAATGTAAAAATCGACTTCCGGTCCGCTCTGGACCGGGGTGAACAGCCCAAAATATT